CCGGCTCCCACCCGGCCCCAGGGCGGGGACTGGCTGGCTCGAGGGGGGCGGGGAATGGGGCAGGGGCCTGTCCCCTCTAGGGGGCGCCGGCTCCCACCCGGCCCCAGGGCGGGGACTGGCTGGCTCGAGGGGGGCGGGGAATGGGGCAGGGGCCTGTCCCCTCTAGGGGGCGCCGGCTCCCACCCGGCCCCAGGGCGGGGACTGGCTGGCTCGAGGGGGGCGGGGAATGGGGCAGGGGGGGCGGGGGCTCACCCGGGGGCACGGTCCCCGCAGAACTTGCCGACGCGCCGGGAGTCGTCGGTGGCCCCCCCGTTGAAAATGGCCACGTAGTCGTAGCGACAGTAGGTGTCGTCCTCCACGTCGAACTTCCCAAAGGTCAGTTCCACCACCTGGGGTGGGGGACATAGGGTCAGCCCCGCCCCCTTGGAGCCTCAGCCCCGCCCCCTCAGCCCCTCCCCCCACATTTCCCCTCTGCCCCGCCCACCACCGTGACACCCCCCCGCCAGCCCCCCCGTACCTGGCCCACGGGCGCTATGATGTGCCAGGAGCAGCTGATCCCGGCCGGGTAGTTGCTCTCGGGCCAGTTCGGGGTCTTGAGGCTGCCCTGGGGCTTCTCCAGCTTCCCCCCACAGAACTGATGCTCTGCAAGACAAGCGGGGGTGGGGGGTCAGCGAGGGGGAGACCCAGACCTTGGGGGGGGGGGACCATAGACCCTCCGAGCACCCGTCCTCCCCACCAGTGGGCACCCCCTGGGGCTAACGGGGAGCGCGCCGGCACAGAGCGGAGCGGATGGGAGCGTGCAAAGAGAGAGGCGAGTGTGCACAGCAAGTGTGCTCACTGGTTGTGCAAGGCTATAGGGGGTGCACAGGAATTATGCAAACGAGTGTGCGCTTGGGAGAATGCAGGTGTGCCGTACAGGGAAGTGTGCAAAGGAATGAGCCTGTGCACGGGGAAACGTGCATGTAAGTGTGCAAAAATAGGTGTGCACGCATGTGAAGGCTGCATGAGTCTGATGTGCACGGATATAGGTGAGTGTGCACAGAGCAGTTTGCAAAGGAGCGTAAGAGTGAGTGTGCATGGAAGGTGTGCAAGATACACAAGTGTGCACACAGGGATTGGAGTGTGCAAAGACACAGGGCACTGTGCAAGCAGAAGACTGTGCACAGGGAAGTTTAGTGTGCAAGAGCATGTGAGTGTGCCAATTCGTGAGTGCACATGGAAGGCTGTGCACAGGCACGCTGCCCAAGGGGAGGTCTCCTGCCACCTGCCCATGCAACCCTCTCTGTGTTCGTGTGCAACTCCTGCCAGCACACGCAATAGTGCAAACTCCTTCCTGCCTGCGCAACAGGGCACAGGTCATCGTGCGAACGTGCAAACCCCCAGCAACACGTGCAGCCGGATCGCTGTCCACCTGGCAGCACGTCCACCTCGGCCTGAACGTGCAAGGGTGCAAACATCTCATGCGCACTAATGGAAACCTGCACCGGTGAACGTGCAAACTGCCGGCCGATGTGCAACCCCCCATCTGAGCGTGCAAACCACCCACCCACTTCGGGACAACCAAACGGCCACCTGCCCGTGTGCAAATCGCCACACTACTGCCACGCTGACCCTTTGGGCTGTGACCCCCCTGCTCAGATCCACGCCCCCACATGCTCCGAGCCCCTCATCGGTGCAGCCAGCTCTGGGGTGGCGCGGGGGCAGGCAGGCGACGTTCCACAGGCCCCGAAGCAGCTGGCGTCGCTCTGCCTGGGCCCGTGTTTGCTCAGCGCACGACTTTGGAGGCATTGGCCCTGGGGGAGGGGGGGGAAGGCCAGCGGCGCCGGGAGCGGGGGAGGGGAGAGACGGACTTGTGCAAACCAGCAATTTCCACGGATTCCGCGGTTGGTAATTACAGACCCTGGAGGGAGCGGGGGGGGGGGAGGGGAGGGGGAGGGCGAGAAAGGCGGGGCACAAGCAGGGGGTGGGGGTGGGGGGCTCGTCGCCCTGTCCAGCAGCCAAGCCCCCCCCCATCGGCCCCCACCGGACACAGCAATGGGACGGCGATGTGGGGGTCAGATCGCAGGCTGGGGGGAGAAGGCGGCTGGTCTGGGGGTGCACAGGATGGGGGGGAACCCCCCATCGTCACACACCGGTCTGTGCAGGTGCATTGTGGGTAACGTGCTCCCAGCATCCTCTCTGCTCCTGGCGTCAGTGCAGGGGATTGTGGGTAACGATTTCCCAGCATCCTCTGCTCCTCCAGCCCCTTTGCCCCAGGCCGCGATCTGACCACAATGGCGCCCCCCGGGGGGCAGAGCCTGGGCAGGCCGGGCTGCAGCTTTCCCCCAGGGCTGGGGTGCTGGTCTCTGCGCCCCGTCCCTGCGGGGGGGGGCCATTGCCGGCGGGGGGGGGGAGGCAGGCGGCCGGATACTCACCATCCCAATAGTGCCAGGGCTCCCCGGCCAACCGGGAGTCTATATGGTTAGCGCCCCACTTCGGCCTTCCGCGCGGCCGGCCTGCAAAAGTCCCGCAGGTTGGGATAGGTGGGGGGAGCTGCTGGAGGGCAGGTGGGGGCGGGGGCCATGCAAGCCGGAGGCACGGGGGGGTCACAACGGCCGGGGAGGAGCTGGCGTGGATAACAATTACCCAGCATCCTCTGCCCCTGGCGTCAGGGCAGGGCATTGTGGGTAACGATTACCCAGCATCCTCTGCCCCTGGCGTCAGGGCAGGTGCATTGTGGGTATCAATTACCCAGCATCCTCTCTGCTCCTGGCGTCAGTGCAGGGCATTGTGGGTAACACGCTCCTAGCAGCCTCTGCTCCTGGCTTCGGTGCAGGTGCATTGTGGGTAATGATTACCCAGCATCCTCTGCTCCTGGCGTCAGTGCAGGTGCATTGTGGGTAATGATTACCCAGCATCCTCTGCTCCTGGCATCAGTGCAGGTGCATTGTGGGTAACGATTACCCAGCATCCTCTGCTCCTGGCGTCAGTGCAGATGCATTGTGGGTAACGATTACCCAGCATCCTCTGCCCCTGGCGTCAGGGCAGGGCATTGTGGGTAACGATTACCCAGCATCCTCTGCCCCTGGCGTCAGGGCAGGGCATTGTGGGTAACGATTACCAAGCATCCTCTGCTCCTGGCGTCAGGGCAGGGCATTGTGGGTAACGATTACCCAGCATCCTCTCTGCTCCTGGCGTCAGTGCAGGTGCATTGTGGGTAACGCGCTCCCAGCAACCCCTGGGAGATCAAGCGTCCATGCACCCATTGGGGGGGTCCCTCTGCAGCCAGCCCCCTGGGGGGGAGCATGCGGGAGCCCCCAGCGGGGAGGGTCCGGGGGTCTCTCACCATTGACGTGGGGGAGGCCGGCGCTGAACCAGACCAGGAAGCCGCGGCCCCCGGTGCCCTCGTCCGTCACCATGCGCAGCAGCATGCGGTTGCCGGTGGAGAGCAGGGCCCCGGGCCGGAAGGTGCCGCAGAAGCGCCCCAGGCGCTGGGCACCGGCCGAGTGCCCATTGAAAACCTCCAGCCAGTCGTAGCGGCAGCTGGGGTCCGGCTCCAGGTCGAAGACGCGGAAGGAGAGAATCACCACCTGGCCCTCGGGCACCTGGGCACGGAGACAGCAGGTCAGCTGGGGGCGGGGGGCAGAGCCCCCCACCTCCCCGTCCTCTGCACCCCCATCTCCCCAAATCCA